AACAATGGCTTCTCATTGGCTAACATTGGCCACTTTATGGCCTGTTCTCTGGCTAGAGCCTCATGCCAAGCCAGAGCGGACAGCGAGCGCGTTCACTGCCACAGTGAGACAGTCAGAGACCGAGCCAAGCCCAAGCTCTGAGCTGGCACCGGCCACGTCAGGCACTCACATGCCACAATGACGGGCAACACAACGGATGGGTCAGAGCCACAGAGAACTGCTTAAAGCCGCCGTCCAAGCTAGAGCTTATGGCTAACACAGTCCAGGCCATAACCATAATGAGCCGCACTAGCCGCCCAGCCTGGGTGGGCTTATGGCTTCAGCGCGGTCATGGCCGCAGGCCTGGCTAGCACCAGCCAGGAACAGAAAACAGGCTCAGCCGTTGAGTGGAGCAGCTGCATTTCACACCCTTGGATTCACATGCACAGCCCACCTCCACACAAAGCTCAGTTGTGCACACAAAATACACACGGGCGCCGAAGTGCATACACAGTACTGAGCCCTGGCAATGTGGATACCCCTCCCACAACCCTCTCTTTGGCTCTGCCTGACCCGAGAGGGCTCCAGCCCTCTTGCCCCTGACCTTCACTTCTTGTGAAAACACAAGCCGTGGGGAGCGGTAATTGTGCAGTGGTAGAATAGTGTTGGGGCGTCAGGCTGCCATCCCCCGCTGCACAGGCTGCTTTTCCGGTACCTTGACTCCACTCGCTGATCCGCCCCTTAGCGCTAAGTTTATGCCTTTTCTCTTGTCTTCGAGGTTCACCCAAACTCCCTTTGACAGAGGCGTCTTTGATTTCACGAGCTGTTTTACGGTGGAGGACTGGCTGGAGTCCATCAAACTGGGGCGCTATCGGGAGAACTTCGCAGTGGCCGGGTATTCCTCGCTGGGGATGGTGATGCGGATGAACATCGAGTGAGTACAAAGGGCGAGAAGTGACTGATGTAGGCCATGAAGTGCTGGCACCACCCGTCACCCCCATCACTGTCTGCTGCCCTCCTACCTTGGGCTCTGTAGATCTTACAGGCTCAGCAGTGTTAGGCCTAGTTAGCACCTGGAGGGGAGAAAATCCAAATACTGAAGGAAGTGGAGTTGGTGCCTCTCTCCTTGGTGCTCTTCTTTATGAGTCAGTCCTGAGCCAATGCGCCAAGGTGATGCTGAGCTCTGTGTCTGTGTGAGTGCACATGCATAGGGCTGTGTGTGTGTGTGTGTGTGTGTGTGTGTGTGTGTGTGTGTGCACGTGTGCATAGGGCTGTGTGTGTGTGTGTGCACGTGTGCATAGGGCTCCGTGTGGGTGCACAGGGCTCAGTGTGTGACAAGATGGTGTGTCCAGCAGGGTTGGCCGGGAGGCTGCACAGTGGAAGCTCAGCGACCGTCAGACCGTTTCATAGCGTGATTGCAGAATGAGGGGACGCTAATCGGAGTTTCAGGGACACCTCGGAGAAGCTGCCGAGTGGACAGGGCTGTCTGTCCGTCTGTCCGTGTGTCTGACTGGGTGATCTGTGAGCAGCTCCAATTTCAGAGCATTGCTCTTGCTGGCTCCTAGCGTGTCAGGAGCCACTTCCCCTCTGCCTCCCTCTCCCCCTGGGGACGGCGTGGGGGCAGTGGCCCTGGGGTGGGCCATGGACACTGACAGCCGGTCACTCCCGAGAACAGCACGTCAGCCCCTAGGACCAGACAACGGCAGCTCCGCCGCTGGCAGCCGAGTGCAGCTGAGCCAGTGGAGGGGAAGCCCCGTGGCCTGGCCTGTAGCACAGGGGGAGCCGGGGGCTGACGTTGCCTTTGTTTTCACAGTGACGTTCGGAGCCTGGGGATCACCCTCATGGGGCACCAGAAGAAGATCCTGAGCAGCATCCAGATCATGAGGTCTCAGCTGCTGAACACCAGTGTCCCCAGGCGGCATCTCTAAGCACCAGCTCCCCAGACCCAGCAGCTGGCGTTCCAAAAGCACCGATCCTGGCAGAGCGGCGAGCAAAGCCGGCGGGAGAAGCGCCGAGCCAGAACCTCGAGTCTCTGTGGCTTTCCGTTGCCTTGCTGGGATTCGCGCTCCCAAGGGAAAGAGGAAGAGCTTTCCAGGGACATTGCTGAATCTGCTGGCGTCTTCCTCCAGCTGAGGGTAGGAGCAGGCTCCAGAGCAGGGCAGGCCACTTCATTTTCCATCCTGTGTCCCTGCTGGGCCGGGGCTCCTAGCATGGCCTAGCTAGGGGCAGTGCAATAGAAGGGGCGCTCCGCCCAGGCCGGGCCCGGCAAAGGGAGTTGCACTGACTGACAGCGATGACGGGAGCAGCCGGGCAAGTCTCTTCCGTGTGCTGCTGCCGACTGTGTCTGAGCTGCTGTTGTACTGCCTGGAGGCTTAGCTGGGTCTCTGAGCCCTGCAAGGCCTCCCACACCATTGCATGGCAGAGACAGCAAAGTGCCTGCTCCCACCACCCTGCTCGACCCAGGACCTCCAGACCAGCCCCTCCATGAAGCTACCAGGGTCATTGCCCTGCTCTCAGAAGGGTCACTGGAAAACCGGAAGTCTTGAGCCTCCTGCAGTAGTTTCTGCTGGTGCTGTGAGCAGACGGGACTTCCTTGGCGCTGGGAAGAGGGGCCCGGAGCGCTGGCGCGTGCTCGGGGAGATGTGAGAAGTGCTGTCAAAGGAGAACCCGGAACCAGCTAGGAAGTCACCACTTCCTGAATGCACCGGCAATGAACCTAGCGCAGGCAAGCCAGGGCCAGGGGAGAGCATGTGTCTGAGGGCTACACGCTCAGGTTTCCCCCCCGAGCCCCAACAGAGCAGAGGCCAGGCTTCTGCCGCATGAGGGGCTGCGTCCCCTCTCACGGTCCTGTCATGTCTTCTTCCGGGTCCGAGGGGGGTTTATTGAACTCTCATATTGCCTAAAACCAGCCAGGGGCTGCCAGCATCCAGTCTGCCTTGCTGTGCTAACAGCCAAGCCTCCCCTGGAGACCGTCACCAGCGGCACCGCTCCCAGCAGCACGCCGACCTGCGAACACACGAGGCCCCCGCCCGAGGCTCTGCTCAGCTGTCACATCCTGGCTGCCCAGCAGGTGAGGGCTTCTCCAGGCCACCCTGCCAGGAGCTGCGCCAGCTCCCTGCTTGCACCCCCTGCTGGTGAGCATGCCCCCGGAAGGCAGCAGGCCAGTGCACTGAGGTGGTTGGACGCGCTGAGCTGTCCCGAGGCAGAGCCGTGCGCGAAGCGGAGGGACTGGCGCAGGCTGGAGAGGAAAGCCGGCCTCTTGCTCCCCTTTGTAAATACGATTTTCTACTGTGTTCAAAGCTGGTTTACTACATCGGACTTTATACACACCAAAATGGTCTCAAAGCACAGAAAGCCCAGCCCAGGGGCTGGCCGCGCTGCCAAGACTCTTCCAGGGGGCGTGTAGCTGGAACTCGCTGAGGGACCCCACTCCTTGGGGCAGGGGAGAAGAGCTCCTCCTAACGCTGCTGTTACTCGTGCGTCTGAGACCCACGCCGCCGATCCGCTCTCAGTGACAGCAGAGGAACTCCAGAGTCACTCCGTTGGTTCCAGTGGAGATCCTCTGGATTTACATCAGCACATGTGACAGCGGGATTTGGCCCGAGGTCGCCTTCCAGCAGCGCCAGAGAAACTGGAGGATGGTGGGATGTGGGGAGAGGGGGTTAAAGCCATTTTCCAGTCTGCAATAATCCTGGGTAAACTGAACCCTCCCGGGCTTGGTTTAGTTTTCTATCCAGGGCGTCTACATCTCAATTCTACTCTGGGACTATGTCGTGGGCACCCTACTGCTTCCTGTGGAAGCTCTTCCGACGAGGGCTAGATGCAGTATGTGGCTCTAGTTCCATTCCACCCTCTGTGCACTCAGACCCCTCACGCACCAATCCTGGGGGCTGTGTACTCGGAGTTTACGCCTGCGGCACACGGAACGCCCGGGGGAGGAGGGTGCTGGCTAGGCCTTACCCACCCTGCGGCACACGGAACGCCCGGAGGAGGAGGGTGCTGGCCATGCCTTACCCACCCTGCGGCGCACGGAACGCCCGGGGGAGGAGGGTGCCGGCCGGGGCTTACCCGCCCTGCGGCGCACGGAACGCCCGGGGGAGGAGGGTGCCGGCCGGGGCTTACCCGCCCTGCGGCACACGGAACGCCCAGGGAGAGGGTGCCGGCCGGGCCTTACCCGCCCTGCGGCACACAGAATGCCCGGGGCGGGAGGGTGCCGGCCGGGCCTTCCCTGCCCTGTGGCACACGGAACGCCCGGGGGGAGGGTGCCGGCTGGGCCTTACCCGCCCTGCGGCACATGGGAGGTATAAGGGTGGGGGGGTTCTGGATAGATCCTGGTTCCCAGAGGGCAGAGGGTTGGTGGATGGTCCCTGGTCCCTAGGGACAGGGGGGTTGCTGGATGGGTCCTGGTACCCAGGGACGGGGGGTGGGGTTGCTGGACAGCCCCAACCCCTCGGGACGGGAATTGCTGGACAGGCCCTGGTCCCAGAGGATGGGGGTTGCTGGCCAGGTGCTGGTGCCTGGCAGAGGAGTGTTGCTGGATGGGCCCTGGTCCCCAGGGACAGAGGGTTGCTAGATGGCCCTTGCCTCTCTCTTCCTTGCCCTTCTTTTATGGTCAGAGTCTGCACCTCTTCCCGGACAATAAAACTCTTCCCATTGCCCATTTCTCTGTCTCTTATTGACAAATGTGTCATGCAGGGCTGCTCTCACGGGGCACAAGGGCTGGTGGAGCTGCTAAGGGATCCACAGGCTGCTGCTGCCGTCCCTTCCAGCAGGCATGGGGCTGCCCGAGGGGACTTGCCTGTGCATGGATGTGCGTGTGTCTGTGAGTGCAAACATGTGCATTTTGCGCATAGTGCAAGTGTGCATGGATGTGCATGTGTGTGCATAGCATGAATGTGCATGTGTGTTCATAGCGTGACTGTATGGATGTGAGTGCATGCACATGTGTGTGCGTAGCGTGAATGTGTATGGATGTGCATGTGTGTGTGAGTGCATGCATGTGTGTAGCATGAGTGTGTGTGATGCGCATGTGTGCATAGCATGAGTGTGCATGGATGTGCCTATGTGTGAGTACGTGTGTGTGTGTGTGTGTGTGTGTGTGTGTGCATAGCGTGAGTGTGTTTGTGTGTGTGTATGTGTGTGTGCGCGCGTGGGTGGGGAAGAGAAGAGTTAGTGGCATTGCTGTTGTTGTTACAGTCCAATCCCATTTCATCCTGGGTGGTGGTGGGATGGAGGAGTCACCTGGGTCCCTCTCTCTGGCCAGGACATCTCTCAGGACCAGGAGGACAAAGGCCCTGGGTCCCAGGAGATGTGGGGGAGGCAGCCATGATGGTGAAGCTCGCTCCAGTAGCCAAGTTTTCTCCCCTAAGTCTCTTTCTTTAAGGCCCCACAAAGGGAGTGATGGGCACAATAGCCCAATGGCACCTAGTTTCTGACGTGGCAGTTTTTTCTCACTGATTTCCAGTTCCGCACTTTCCTGTTTACCAGGCAGGATCTGACCACAGTGCTTGGGTTTGGACTCATTCAGTCTGTCTGTCTGTCTCCCTGTCAAACCTTTTCCCATCACCCACCTGCCGTTAGCAGTTACTGGGCCATCTTCTGAACTTCCCCTCACTTCTTCCAGCTGAACCCAGGAGGAGGGGAGGCTTGTAGGCCCAGTTACTACAACAGGCCCCACAGGAATAGAGCAGCAATTCCTTTCTGGGCCTGGCAGAGAAACAAGCTATGACAGAGCCCAACGCACAATGGAAAAGTAACATACTCCAAGGACGTACGTCTCCTGTTAGGGCTCAAGCAGGCCTAGCCTAGAATAACCTCAGCAACAGGCTTATTTCAAGCACTAACGCTGAGCCATTGTCCCAAGAGTCGCTACAGTAAGTCTGTTCAATTTCATCTGCAGGCCTGGTTGAATCGTAGCCTTTGCCAGTTTTCAGTAGGTTCTGGATACTGCAGATTTACCCAGACACAATACTTGGCTCCACCTGCAAATTCAAAAATCATTATAAATATCCAAACGAAAGGCAAGCTAACTGCTTTTGGGCAATGAACCGGTGACCCTAGCTATGCTATAACGGAGAAGAGAGCCACCAGGATCTGCGACGGAGGAATCTGCAGACCTGAAGGGGCAAAAAAGGACCAGTGTGTGTTTAAAGCATGAGAAGCACGTGCTTCCTTGCACCGTTATTGTGAACAGATGCTGCTCACCACCCTTATCATGGTGAAAATGTCAAAGGCAGATATTTCATATGCCCACCAAAAGCATCACTCGCCCCAGGAAGTGGGGAGCAGAGATTTGCCGGGCCGCGGTAGGGTGTTTGTTAAGCTTCCACATTGCATTGATTCATAAAGCCGACGTTCACATTCTGCCAGATGTAGGGGGTTTCGCCATAGGCGTTCAATCCAAAAGCAAGCACCTACCCCAGGGGAGCTGACGTGTGTTAGAGACTGTACCTGGCTGACGGCTAAGCGTGCAATGCGCAGGGGGACGTATCCATGGGGTTAAATGGGGATACTATTCAGAGCCCTCTGCACAGGTGCAGTATTATTAACATCTGAGAATTAAACAAATGTGTCCATGCTAATAGCCATCCACTAGATAAATGCCCCCCTCCCCACCCCCACTTGTCACAAGGGACCTGAGTTTCCAATTTTGTAACATTACGATTCTCCCTTCCCCCTTCCCTGTGACTCCTGAGAAAAACAGTCCTGGCCAGGGCTAGCCCACCAGGGGCCGAGTGGCTGGCTCCTGATGTGGTTTTATCTCCCAGCTAGCATGGCCCCACTGGGCGCTGAAGCCAGAAGAGATTTTTCAGATTATCCAATGTTCTTGCAGGGAAGGGGCCAGCCAGGCTGCAGGGCAAAGGGGCCGGGTGACTGTACGTTCAGGTGGGCCTGGCAGGTTCAAGTCACCCGTGCTCCCATTTACCTGTGTTGTCAGGACATCTCTGAGCTCCCTGGGGAGCAGCAGCGGGAAGGGCAGGGCAATTAATCAGACGGGAACAGAAGTTTTGCTGCATGGGCTCAGGGTTAGGGGAGTCCAAAGAGTGACACACAGGCCAGGTATGTTGTCTACTTGCTTAGAAACAAACCAGGGGTTGTAGATGGGTCTCCTGAAATCAGTCCTGCTGTGGGGGACCAGCTGGCCAAGCAGACAGACCCTCCCAATCCAGCAGTGCCTACAGAGCCCTCAGCATATTTATAATGCCAAATGGAGACGCTTGTGCACCCAAGTAACAATCTGACGTGTTTCCCAAAGCTCTATCTCCAGCAATCAGCATCCCCGTGAGCATCCCCAGCAGAGAGCCAGGGACCCCAGCCTGCAGACACTATTGTTACTGTATTGAAACCACCATGGAACAGAAGCAAAGGTAAAAAGGTTCATGGCAGTGTCACACCCAGTCTCCCAGCCCAACTCAATTCCTTTCATAGAGTGGAAGCCAGTGCCCACCAGCACCTCACAGAGTTCGGCCCCAGGGCGGTTTGTGTCCCAAGCAGAGACATCCTGTTCCAGTGATAGCCAGGCATCAAGGCAAGTAATCATTCTTTCACTGGTGAACTAGATTTCCTTCTCTAGTAATGCGTAGTACCGTTCCTAGGTACTGACCAGGCAATCCCACTATATTTGCTTTGCTATCTGTCCAAGCTAAGCTGGGATACTTCATTAATAGTACAAGCCCCTGCACGCCATCCGCATTATTAAGGTGCGTGGTCACTGTGTACAGGACTTTAAAACAGCCCAGCAGTTCTACGTGACATCGCCCATGTTGGTTTTACGTGCCCACAAGCCCTCTTCTTTGTGTCAGTTTTATGAAATCTTTCTGAGGTCAAACA